ATTTTAATATATCAATATTTAATAAAATAATTTTTAAAATTTTAAATTAAAATTTAATAAAATAAAATTAAAATTTTAATTATTTTTTTAAATTAAGATTGATATATATATTTTTATTATACAATATTAATTATTAAATAAAAATTTTGCCCTCGCATTAAAAGCGTTATCCTATTTAATAATTCTTATCTGAATAGTACTAGGGGCAGTAATCACTAGCACTCCCCATGAGACACCCATTTAATGGGTTTTTTTTATGTCACTATCATTTTAAATGAGTTACCGGAAACTTAAAGAAGCCGGTTCCTTCATTTCTTTTTGGAATTGAACAATCATCTAACGTCCTTTGTACCTTCTATTTAAAAGTTTCCTTTACCGCTGCGACCACGCCATGGCCATTAATTAAGCATGATTAATGAGTTTGATTATCGCATTATAACTTCATCCTCTTACTATAGAAGGAGTCTGGACTCTGGACAGTTTGAAATTTGTTGGAAATGTCCTTTTCTCCTTTTGAAGGTGACACATTTAATTATTTAGTAATTTTTTAAATTATAAGATTTTTATGCAATCATAAAATTTCATTTATTAAACTCATTTAGTTTTATATGTAGACCAACAAGAACTTTGAGATGCTTTTAACATAAAAGTTTACTTTTGTTTTTAGAGAATATATAAAGTTCCTTCTTTGTTAATCTATTTGATGATAGAGTTATGGCTTTTCAGAATTTTATTTTGTTTTTGTGATTAAGTTATAAGATACTTGCCTTTCATAATTATCTTTACTAGAGATTAGAATTGCATTTGAATTTTTTTCTCAAATAAATTCAACTACAAGTATAACCATTTACTCAATAAAAAAAATTAAGACACATAAATATAAGTTTGTTTTACTTGTACTTTTATAGTATATATTAAAAAACATTAATTGTATATTTTTTAATAATTTATATAAAAATATAAAAATTAATTTTATTTTTAATATTAAGAAAATATATAATTAATATATTATTAATATGTACATAAGATCAGGTAAAAGCCCCCTGTTTGCCCCTTCAACTTTTCGAGTTTGAGGCGTTTTACCTCTCATATTACAATATATGAGTTTTTACTCTTTATGTTTTCAAGTTCAGGGAAATAAGATAAAATTTAACGTCAAAAGGTGACGTGCAGCACATGCATCATTAGTCTTCATCATACATTCACATGTAACCGCCAAAAATTTTATCTTGTGGACACTAGTTGTTGACTTACAATAATGACATGGAAAAAAATAATAATATGAAAAAAAAATAAAAAATTCTTTCTTATTATTATTATTATTTTTTCTTCTCTTTCTCATTCTCTCTTCCCTTGGAATCCAAGCATTGGGTTCTTTGGTACCCTGGCACTGGGTTCTTTGGTACCCTGGCACTGGGTTCCTTGGAATCCTGGCACTAAGTTCCTTAAAACCCAGGTGTTGGGTTTGATGAAACCTAGGCATGGGTTTCTCCGAACTCAACATGCTTGCATTTGATGGAATCTAGGTCTAAGTTCTTTCGAACGCAGGCACTGGGATTCCAAGGAACCTAAGCACTAGGTTCGATGGAACCTAGCACACCTGGGTTAGTTGGAACCTAGGCACAAGTTCTTTCAAACCTAGGCGTTGGAGTTCCAAGGAACCCAAGTGCTAGGTTCCTTGAAACTTAGGCGTCGGTTCTAAGAAACCCAATGGCAAAAAATTAAAAAAGGGTTTTTTTTTTTGGTGGGTTTTGTTGTTTGATGATGATGAAGAACCCAGCAAAGGTATAGATTGGTTGAGATGTTAGGGTTTGCAAAAGTTGAAGAAACAAAAGAAAAAAGGGAAAGGGAAAAAGGAAAGGGAGGAAAAAAAAAAAACTAAATTGTTGGTGATAGAATTCCAGCTCACAAAGTGTCCAAATTGAACTAGTTAAGACGTCAAAAAATCTAAGTTAACGTTGACATGTGAATATATAATTAAGACTAACGATGCACGTATTATACATGACCTTTGAATGTTAAATTTTATTTCATTTCCTTAAATTTGAAACTTTAAAGGTAAAAATTCATATATTATAATATAAAAGATAAAATACTTCAAACTTAAAAAGTTGAAGGCCAAACGGAGAGCTATTGCCCATAAGATTACAAGATAAAAAATTTAAAAAAAAAACCTATAAATATATGCCCTTCGAAAGCAAGATAACGTTAATTGGTGATGGGAAAAAAAGGTTGTGGTTGTTGAGAATCTCGAGATTGGTTGAGGTGGCAAAAAGAAATTAAAAATGGGGGAACCGGTTGCCCATTAATCTCACTAAAAGAGAGTGTGACGTGGGTAAATACTGAAGCAAGTATCCCTTGGAGAGTGCAGGATCGAACTACCCTTCTTTTTCTCCTTTTTACAATTTAATATAATTTAAATTATAAAATAATATTTATGTTTTATGTATAAAAATTTATTTTCAAATGAATTATGAAGAACATAACGGACAACCAAATTTTAGAAACGAAATGGACAACTTGAAATTAGTAAGTTATTCTGAAATGAAAGAGGAATGTCCAATTTTTTTTTTTTTTTTCTCTTCACAATTTTAAACAAGTTTTGTTTGTAACATGAGATGATGCAAAACGAAAAGGAAAAACAACGAAAGGAGAAAATAAATGCTGAATTTCAACGAACAGAGAATGCAAATTGTCTTCACAAGCAGAGCAGATGAGTCAAAGAGAGAAAAATTGTCGCCTAAGTCAGATTGAGACCGGCGCTTTCGAAGCATCCCCAGATGTAGTTAATGCCCCTCTGGGGACATCTGGGGAAGAAGCAGATGAAAGTACATCATTCTCTCCCTTTGGAGAGCTTATCATTTGCCCTGCATGCCATTTCGAGAAGCCTTCCACCAGGGCATCTTTCATCCATAGATGTCGGCAACACTCCCCGGCTTCTGGGATTGTCAGCCAACTTCTCTGGCGAGTACTCTGTTCAGGCCAAGATACAAGCTCCTCCTTTACATGCAGAGCAAACATAGCAGCTTTGCACAAGCCCTCCGGGCCATCGTCTTGTTGGGTCTTGCTCTTGAAGACGTAATGCCCCAAAAAATGCTGAAACATAGGCAGCTTTTGTTCAAGTATCAATATGTTTCATTAGGTAAGCAGGTCAGATCCAAAGTCACATTCTTCCGAAAATTAAAATCAAGTAACAATGTTTCTCAAAGCTTATTTAGAATAACAAAATCAGAAAGCAAACGTGCATGACATTCTTTGCTCTATAATGATGTCGGCATACAATAGATGTGCACAAAATGCACACAAATCTAATGAGATGTTGTTAACAACTGAATAACCAGATGGATTCTCCAAACCAATTGTCCAATGGGAAAGGACAATCACAGCTAAGCCTTAAAATAGGTAATAGGTCTATTTATTGTTGCTTCCAAAAACTTTCAAGAGTAATGGGATTTCTCCTCCATGAACATTATGGGATATAGTGGGAAGAAAACAGCAAACAAGTTGTCAAAAGACAACCAGGGGAAAAAGAAGAATATGAAGGGTACTTGGTATGCTTACTGGCCATTTAGCTATTCCAAGAATTGTAGAAATAAGATTAGAAAAAATGTGCAATTAGAAAAAATGTGCAATAATAGCTACTGAAAGCAATGGTTCGTTTCTTTAGCTTATCTTTCTATCCACTGCACAGAATGTGACAACATGACTGTAGAACACAAAAACAAGGTATGACCTACACATTTGCAGATGCAACTTGGAGCTTGTGCGATGTCCCTTAGTGGTCCTTGTTAGATCTAAAAGGCAAAGCACAATATGATACATAAGATGGACACGGGTTCAGCACATGCAGCTCTGGATTCCTAGAGTGCAGTAATTTCTTTAACCACCTTCATCTTGGTATTTGTTGAGATAGATATTAACACTTAGGAGTGAATTAGAAATTTACACAGAAACAATTGGAGTGAGGTGAGACCCTATCTCTTATGTAACTGCAGTTCCTATGATCTCCCAGAATTATAAGGCTTTTTCTTTTCTTTTTGGGGTTTGAAATATGAAAACAAAAGTCATCCTTGCACAGACTAAAAGGCAAAAAAAAAAAAAAAAAAAAAAAAAAAAAAAACTTACAAAAAGGAAAGGGCAATGAAAAATGACAGCATGGTTTCTGGAAGGATGGAAAACTATGTAGGTAGCAATTTGATTGATGTATGAAAAAGAATGTGATCAACTAGAATTTTGTATGGAATATAGCTTTGTGGTCCAACCATTAAGGCATTAGGCATTAGCCAAAAGTAACTTCGCAAGTTGTATTCACTTGCTACTTTTAAGGTGATGCTTTACTAACATACTTGGATTATTGGAAAAATAATATGCGACAATCTCAAAACAGCAAAATTGATTTCTCATTGTATTCATGTAAAGGCCATATGTTAAGATAACATGACGTCAATCTCATTAAAGCAAAGGTGATTTTTGTCCCTGAATATTCATGAACTTCATTGTCTGCAATTTAGATAATAAACTTTAAAAACCAATGTAATCAAAGACAATCATTAATAGAGAAGATGCATTAGCACTCACAAGCAGGAAATCACTGGAAAATCTAAACATAAGAGGGACATGCCAAATAAACACAGAACCACCACTAAACCTAGGTATATTACCTACTAAACAATGGAACAATAAATAGAAGAATGTACATAGCAGGTGCATGGACCAACTCAATAGACCCTAATATTTTCAGCTTTATGGATAAAAGTTCAAGAAAGAAATAAATCAGGCACATAAGAAAGAACAACAAAGTAGTATCTTACCTTCATATCACCTCGAACACCAGCTTCTTCTAAAGCTTCCCGAGTTGCTGCCTCCTCAACAGATTCATCTTTTTCCCACCCTCCCTAAAAATAGTAAATGCCAAATTGTAATATCACAGTGACTATTCTTGTTATCTCGTTTACTTAATTTTCAACTTAATAGAATTAAAATGATGGTCCACTTTTGGAACTCCAAAACTAGCTCACTTCAGTTCTGAATCAACATTGAAGTTATTTCCATCTAAATTGAATGAGTTTAAAAAATAAAGTTACCTGTCTAAAGCTTGCATTTACATTGGTTCCAATGCATTTGTAACTTTATGTAAAATTCTTAACTCTGTAGGATTAACTGGGAACTAGTTTTTAGTTGAAACAAGATAACTTGTTAACTTGACTTTGAGAATTCCACAATCAACCCTAACAGAACTACCATGTACAAATCAGTGATCACTACTAAGACATTAGCATCTATATCCTATTCCATTTTTGCATAAAACTACAGAGATGATATTATATGGGCTTCTAGACAATCTTTTTCACAAATGTAGTATCTAATCTACCACAGTTACTTATCTTTATTGAGTAAGAAAATTGAGAAAAAAAAAATCACATAGTTAGCGACTAATAGAATTCACCAGAAACGTAATAATTTTCCTTTAGGAGGAGATAAAATACGAATTAAGGCATATTAACTACTGTCTAGGCTGGGGCACACAGTTTTTCCTCAGATTTGGTACTTGAGAAACATTCATCAACCATTCTAATGTTGAATGTTCTGGCATTTAAGGTATAACATTTTCCACTCAAATGCTATTGACAATTCAACTTAAAAGAAAACTATCATTCAAAAAAGTTTACGCAACAAAATTATCAGCCAAAACCTGTACCTTAGGAAATACAAGACCAGGTCCAGCAGTTGAATTGATCATTAGAACCTCAACAACTTTCTTAGATGTGCCATCATCATTTTCAACAAAACTATACCTAAAAGGAATACACCTGTCAATGACTGTTAGTTAGAATTCAATTTTCAAAATAATATTATTTAGATAAAACATAAAGGATACTTCTAGTCATCTAGCACACAAAACCAGCGATGAGCAATTAAGAATCAAAGCGCTTAAAGTGACCATTTTAAAGATTGATATCTTAAAGGGCCACAGTTGTCAAGAACCATGGCCAGTAGGAAGAACCAGTTCATATGAACAATGATTCAATCACAGCTTCCTCCTCTTTTTCCTCAGTAAAACCAATAAGAATCTCTCGTAACTAAATTACATTCATGACCCAAAAAGCCTTACAAAATTTCCCACAGAACATTCAATTACCTCATCAAAACATTCAAATTAAATACTTGGCCACATTCATATCATATGATGATCAATCAAAATGGCACTCAAGGATGGCCCATTCTGAAACTGCCAGTTAAAAATTATTCATCTCCTAAAAGACTAAATCTAAAATAAATTGATCACTTCATCTACATAAATTTTATTCCTTACAAACAGATATCTAAGGAACAATTTGACACCTGGAATAATTTTTTCTTTGAAAAAAAAAAACTAAAATTATATTTCCTATTTGGCCAAAAAAAAAAAAGTAAATGGGAATAAAGCGTAAAAGCATATCCTATGATCCCATAAAAGATTCTAGATCTCCTTTCTAATAAACTCTGGGCAAAAGCTTTGCAGACTTCACATGCATTAGGATTCCCTGATAATTATAAATCACATGCTTCATGTGCTTGAACCTAACTCTGGAAAAGCATTAGCTTCCTAATTATATTATAATTTACCAAATTATCATCACATCATGCAACCAAAGGCAGGTCCTTTACCACAAAAAGCAAAAGGGTCTTACGTTTTTATTTTTATTTTCCTTATCAGAAAAAGGAATTTTGAGTTTTCATATTTAACTGCCATGAAAATTTCCTGTAAAATCGTTTTTTTTTTCCTTCTGCAATTCACAAGAATAAAAGACCAAGAGCTTGAGTATATATTAATTGGATAATTAATCAACGCACTTTATTTGCTTAAAATAATCCCCCTATTTTTACTTGAACCACAATTTCGCTAGAAAAATATAATTTTTTAATGATTAATAATAAAATCTAACAAACAGTGCATGAAAAATAGAAACAAAAAAAAAAATTCTCAAAGGAAAAAAATTGCTTAAAATAATCCCCCTATTTTTACTTGAACCACAATTTCGCTAGAAAAATATAATTTTTTTAATGATTAATAATAAAATCTAACAAACAGTGCATGAAAAATAGAAACAAAAAAAAAAAAAAATTCTCAAAGGAAAAAAAATCATAAAATAAACCAGAAAACGGAGAAAAAGAGAAATCACCCGGCGACGAGGCGGCAACCGGCTTCATACCGCTGCTGATGACGACCGGTGCGAGCGACCAATTCAGACATTTCTCTGAATTTCACGATTCCACAAAACGCCGTTACTAAATTTCCGATATGTAATAAACCTCCGGATTTTGCCGGATCCCAACCATATTCAGATCATCCGAGACACACAACTCAATTGTGGAAACCATTCTGTTTTCCGGCCACATTATGCCATCTGTGCACGCGGCACTGAGAAAAAACCGACGCAACCGATGGACGGTACCGCCTCTCCGACCTCCTCGCCGCAACCACCTCAAAACGGGTTGAGATTGTACAACTGAATTCTGGAGATTTCCGGAGCTTGTTTTTCCTCCTGGTTTTGCAGTTTCTGTACAGAGAGAGGGAGAGAAACAGGAAATGGTGTCTTTGTTTTGTCGCGTGGAAAATGGAGACCCACGGTTGACCATTTTACTTTTTATTTATTTATTTTTTTAATTTAATTTTTCTTTTATTTTGTTT